GGTAAGTAACCATCACCATTCATCAAGCTCTTTTGTTCAATCATTTCACAATTTTTGTTTTCTTAATTTCAGGAATTGCAACACCAAAAAGTGAAATTCCTAAATTCATAAAGACTATTCAAAATTTGTGATTGCCATGGTTGACGATGAATTTTAGTTATAAAAAAAATTGTTTTATGAAATTAAGTTATGAAAAATTATTTTGTTAGTATTTTCGTATTGGATTATGCGAGGACTTTAGTTTAAATTTCGCACAGGACATAGCAAGTATACATGTTGATTTTCGCTAGGGCAAAGCAAGTATACATATTGATTTTTGCTAGTTTCACAACCAAAAAGACATGAAAATGAAAGGCAGAAAAACATATGGAAATAGAACTCTATCACCAGAAGTTATGGTTAATTAAGCACTTATAAGCGTATGGACTCAAAAAGCCAACAATCTCCATGATCACCACCGTAGTTGATTAATATCATTCACTCAGTTTCTATAACTACATTCCTTTAAAATGATTTTGAATATACGACAAGCAAGTCTTTACGTTATTCAACTTGTTTCTTCATAATATCAACTTTAAGAAAGAAAAGTTCAGATCTTTCACAAAGGCAACTTACGACTGGACTGCATGCATGCATTTCCCCACACAATCTAAAGGTGAAAAAAACAAAGTAGGATAGCTAGATTAGAGTTCACTTTTCGTATGGTTTACTATATATGAAAAACAAAAAAAAGTTTACACCGTTCGTGTGATTATCCTAATAATCAAATCGCAAAATCAATGTAATCAAAATTAAAATAGGATCACAAAATATCTAGAATTAAGTAACCTAATTTACACGGGAACTCACAACACTCAGATATATAAAGGACACGTTAGTTCCCAGTATTTATCAAAAAAAGCCCAAATACTAACAAGCACTTCCTCCTTGATTGGGAAATCTTTGCTACTTACTTTTAAACTTTTATCATCAAGTATCGTGTAAAAGTATGTTCAACGTTTTAAAGTTAAGGAACAAATTTTGGACTAACTATGTACGTCTTAATCAAAACCACCACTGATCGAATCACATTCAATATCTTTCCCTTCCCAAAAAGTGGAGGCAAATAATCTTAGCCTGTAAGAATTCAAACACTCAATCATTCTTATATCAACACTACATACATAGTCACTGCCCATACGCAGCGAAGCCACACACACCTTTCTGAGATCACTTGGACATGGAAGCAACAACAATGCATGCAATTTCATTTGAGTTAAAATTGCTCCATTGTTCCATTAGAGATTTCTTGCTTAATGGGTCTCACTGTTCCCTAACATATCGACTATAAATTAAATTAATAATTCTGTGGTACCACCAGAGGAAGTGTGACATCTAGTGCTGCAAATGGGACATGCATTATTGGAAAAGTGAAAACCCATTCAAAAGAGCCCATCAGCTGACCAATAATTAATTACTCTCTCTCTCTCTCTCTCTCTCTGTTGAATTTAACATAATTCTTTCTAGCATGCATGAGGATCCAGGGCCAATATTGAGATTTTGAGAGCCCTGTTTGAAACTTAAACGGGAGCCCTCAATCTAATATGAAAATATTTATAAAAAAATTTCAGGGCCCTTAAAAATTAAGGATCCTGTGCGGTGACACCACTTACACACCCTCAAGGCCGAGGACCCCATATGCTTTTGCTTCGCTTACTCAATCACTTATTTTGGATCTCCTTATGGGAAAAAAAAAAAGAAAAACATTCCCCCCCCCCCCCCTGTTTTATGAAATTAAGTTATGAAAAATTATTTTGTTAGTATTTTCGTATTGGATTATGCAAGGACTTTAGTTTAAATTTCGCACAGGACATAGCAAGTATACATGTTGATTTTCGCTAGGGCAGAGCAAGTATACATATTGATTTTTGCTAGTTTCACAACCAAAAAGACATGAAAATGAAAGGCAGAAAAACATATGGAAATAGAACTCTATCACCAGAAGTTATGGTTAATTAAGCACTTATAAGCGTATGGACTCAAAAAGCCAACAATCTCCATGATCACCACCGTAGTTGATTAATATCATTCACTCAGTTTCTATAACTACATTCCTTTAAAATGATTTTGAATATACGACAAGCAAGTCTTTACGTTATTCAACTTGTTTCTTCATAATATCAACTTTAAGAAAGAAAAGTTCAGATCTTTCACAAAGGCAACTTACGACTGGACTGCATGCATGCATTTCCCCACACAATCTAAAGGTGAAAAAAACAAAGTAGGATAGCTAGATTAGAGTTCACTTTTCGTATGGTTTACTATATATGAAAAACAAAAAAAAGTTTACACCGTTCGTGTGATTATCCTAATAATCAAATCGCAAAATCAATGTAATCAAAATTAAAATAGGATCACAAAATATCTAGAATTAAGTAACCTAATTTACACGGGAACTCACAACACTCAGATATATAAAGGACACGTTAGTTCCCAGTATTTATCAAAAAAAGCCCAAATACTAACAAGCACTTCCTCCTTGATTGGGAAATCTTTGCTACTTACTTTTAAACTTTTATCATCAAGTATCGTGTAAAAGTATGTTCAACGTTTTAAAGTTAAGGAACAAATTTTGGACTAACTATGTACGTCTTAATCAAAACCACCACTGATCGAATCACATTCAATATCTTTCCCTTCCCAAAAAGTGGAGGCAAATAATCTTAGCCTGTAAGAATTCAAACACTCAATCATTCTTATATCAACACTACATACATAGTCACTGCCCATACGCAGCGAAGCCACACACACCTTTCTGAGATCACTTGGACATGGAAGCAACAACAATGCATGCAATTTCATTTGAGTTAAAATTGCTCCATTGTTCCATTAGAGATTTCTTGCTTAATGGGTCTCACTGTTCCCTAACATATCGACTATAAATTAAATTAATAATTCTGTGGTACCACCAGAGGAAGTGTGACATCTAGTGCTGCAAATGGGACATGCATTATTGGAAAAGTGAAAACCCATTCAAAAGAGCCCATCAGCTGACCAATAATTAATTACTCTCTCTCTCTCTCTCTCTCT